TTGGAGCATCTCGTTTTGCTCAGCAAAGCGTGGCGGGGACAGGAGCCGCGATGAGGGGACGCACGCAGCTCCCCGTGGGTGACGCAGGGTTCGCTGCCCCCGGATCCCCGCAGGGCGGCACAGCGGGACGCGCCAACAACACCGCGTGTCTGCAGGACGCGGGGCGGCTCCCGGGAGAGCAGAACGGCCACGGCATCACCCGGCGCCGGGCACGGGGCTGAGCCGGCACGGATTGCATCAGCCGGGAACGGACGGCGGCACGCGGGGCTCCGAAACACCGCCGCGGGGCTGCGCAGAGCCCGGCCCGGCCGTCCCCAACCCCGCGGGCTGCCCCCCACCGCCCCTCCGGCTTTAGGACCCCCCTCCAACCCCGGGTCTCGGCTCAGCCCCAATAGGAGCGCGGCTCCCCGGGGGGGGCGGTCCCACGTACACCTCCGCCAGGCGCCGTCCGCCCGCACCAGCGCGTCCACCAGCGCCGGGTCTTTGAAGCGTTTCCGTTGCATCTCCCGCACGGCCGCGGGATCCCCGCCTTTGTCGGCACGGAACAGGTCCAGGTCCAGCACCATGGCGGCGGCTCCGGAGCGCGGTGACAGCGGCGGTTCCCGTGCCCGTGTCCGTTCCGCACTGCGCCTGCGCAGCGCCGCAGGGCGGGGCCTCCGCTGAGCAGCCGAGGGGGGGCGATGTACGGGTAGAGCGCCGACAGCGCGCCGACAGCGCCCCCTGGTGGAGACGAGGCGGCGCTGCGTTGGGTCTGAGAGCCCCCGCGTGCGGCTGCCGGCGGGGCTCTGCGCGACCCCACGGGAGTAAAGGAGCCTTGTGGCATCCCTGTGGCGCACATGCGGCAAGCCAAGGACACCATCTGTCACCCAATAGAATCCTCCCGGTAACCTCCAGCATCCCCCACAACATCCCTACAGCAGTGTGGCCCCCCCATGGGGCTGTCATCACCTCTTATGGCATCTCTGTGGTCCCCTCATAGCATCACCAGCATCCCATGGCACCACGTGGTACCTCAGGGTAACCCACAGCATCTGCAGGCTCCCTTATGGCAGCTCCATAGCATGGCCACGGCACAACGTGGCGCCCCAGTGTAATTCATGGCATTCTCTTGGTCCTCTATGACACCCCCACGGTGCTCAGTAGCACCCAAGGGTGCCCCTATGACATCCCATAGTGCCATATGGCAATCCAAGGACGTCCTGCAACACTCCATAGCGTCCTCATGATGCTCCCTGGCATCCCCGTGGCACCCTATAGCATCTTCACAGTCCCCTATGGCATCCTCATGGTGTCCCGTGAAGTCACCACGGCATCCCATAGAACCATTACAGCACCCCATAGCAGTCTCACCATCCCATATGGCATCCCCAGAGCCTAGGGTGTTTCTTGGTGCCATATGGCAACCTGAGAACATCCTACAGCATCTCCATAGCTACTTCACGGCACCATATGGTGGCTCCATAGCATTTGCAGAGTCCCCTGTGGTTTCCCCATTGAACCCCAGCTTTCCCCTGTCCATTGCTGGGTGCCACACACCCCCCCAGCACAGAACCACCACACCAGGCTCAGAAACATCACCTTTATTGCACAGCCAGGGCATGGGGGGCCGCCTGGTGCTGCCTAGAAAACGCTGAGATCGCTGTAAAAGGGGGGGGATGGAGCCAGGGGGGGGGGGACACGGGGCACTGCTGTGGGGACAGCCGCAGGGGGACCCACTGTGGGGCAGCATCACCTCAATGGGTGCATCCTGGCAGGGGGAAAGGCAGCCTGGGGGGGGAGTGGGGCTGGCATGGGGCTGTGGCACAGCTGGGATGGCATGGGGTGACGCGGCGTGGGGGGACAGTGACACGGTGTGACGTGGCCACCAGGCGTTCCCTGCCGTGCCCCAAGCGGAGCACGAGGGGCCCAGCAGCTTGCACATGTGTGCACACTCCTGCAACCCCCCCATGCACACTTCTGCCCCACACCTGTGCCCCCAGCACGTCACATAGGGCTGCCCCCCCCCCCCCCCCCCTCACGTCCCCGTGCCGGGCTGGGGGTGCTCCTGACCCCCACGTCTGTATTTGGCATTTTTGGCTTTTCCCAAGGGTGGGGGGAGACAAAAGTGCCCCGGGGCTCTGTGGGTCCTTAAGGCCACGGGGTGGGGGGTGGGACGGCCCCCTCACAGCTCCAGGTCGGTGCCACCAGACGATGGCTTCAGGGGGACGGAGTCAAAGCCGTCTGGGGTGCGCTGCAGGGAATGGGGACACTGAGGGATGAGGACACAAACAGGGGACACCCCTCCCTGTGGGACACCTCCTCCACGGGGCATCCATCCCCATAGGACATTGGTTATCCCCTCTGTAGGATACCTCAACCCCATGGGACCCTGCATCCTATGGGACGTCTGCAGCTCCACGCATCATCCTCATCCCCTAGGACCCTCAACCCTGTGGGACACCTCCAGCCCCTGCAACGTCCCCATGGGAACCCCCACATCTCACGGGGGACACCCCAATCTCACAGGGCACCCCAACCCTTGGGACTCCTCTGTGCCTTGGGTCAACCCCGTGGGACTCCTCCATCTCCATCCCTCGGACGATCTCCTGGGACACCCCCCATCCCTTGGGTCAATCTCATCCCCTTGGGTCAACATCACCCCCACGGGACACCTCCATCCCTTGGGTCAACCCCGTGACACACTTCCACCCATTGGGACAATCCCATCCATCGGGACGGCCCTGCAGAACGCCTCCATCCCTATAGGACCCCCCTGCTCCCGTTCCCACTCCCACCTTGGTGGCCAGGCAGCGGATCTTGCCCAGCAGGGACTTCTTGCTGGTGAAGATGAGCTCGTCCTCACCGTCCTCTCCCTCCATGATGGCACAGCTATCCGGTGCCGGCAGCTCGCTCTCCTTGGCCGCCGCGTTCAGCACCAGCCGTGAGTACTTGTACTCCAACCTGCAAACAACCCCCATAACCGCAACCTCCGCACAGGAACGACGGGCTGGGCTGGGGGGGGGGGGAAGCAGGGGACGTGCCCCACACTCACTTTCGGTTCTTCTTCCAGAAGTAGGCGGCTAGAGCAGCCAGCAGCACGGCCACGCACGTCCCCACCGAGACGCCCACCTTCAGCCAGAACTCAGCGCTGCGGCACGGGCGGACCCGGGGGGGGGGCAGGCGCTGCCCCCCGTGGCACAGCCGCGGCTCCCGCCACACGTACGTGGTCCTCTGTGTGCGCCACCGGGGGGGGCGGGGGGGGGGGGAGGTCAGGGCGGTGACATCGCGTCCCCGCTGTCCCCGTCGTCCCCGCGCGCCCCCTACCTGCACGCCGCCCTGGCACGCGCCCACGATGGCACGGAAATGGTTGGCGGAGCAGCGCGGGCAGCCCTCGGCCGTCGCCCACAGGAGGTGGAAAGCGCAGCCATCGCAGGTGCCTTCGGGGCATTTGCTGTGGGGGGACACGCGGGTAGAGGGGTGGCTGTCCCCAAAGTGGGGTCCACAAATGTGCCGCCGCCCTCCCCGAGGCGTTACGTTTAGGGACGCGGTGGCGGCCGTCCCCGAAGTGCCCGGATTCGCCACCGTCCCCTCCACGGGTGGCACTACAGCGGGGCACGGAACACAGGGACCCGGTGGCGGCCGTCCCCAAAGCGGGGTCCTCGGGGACGGCACGCTCCCTGCGCTCGTGCACGGGGACGCCTGGAGGCAGGGGACGCCCCGGAGCCGTGAGGGCGCCGCCGTTCCCCCGCGGCGGGACCCACCTGGGCACAGCCAGGCCGCCGGTGCCCGGCCGCAGCGGGTCGCAGCGCAGGCGGATGGTGGTGGCCCGGCCCCCGGCGCAGGACTGCGTCACCTCGCTGGACCTGCGGCGGCCAAAGGGAGTTCAGCGCATCCCCGGGGTCCCCGCTCCGCCCCGCGTCCCACCCCAACCTCCGCCCACCTGAAGAAGAAAACGATGTCGGGCAGCTCGGGGCCGGCGGGGGGGAACAGCTCGGGGGGCGCGGCGACGCCGTCCAGCGCGGAGCTCACGGTGACGCCTGCGGTGGCGCTCAGGTGACGCGGGGGGACTCGGCACCCGCGGAGCGCCGGGACTCGGAGGGGTTTGGGGCTCACCCAGCAGGCGGTCCGCCAGGCTGACGGGCTGCGAGGACACGGCGGCGCGGTGGCCGACGACGTCGGACGGCACCACGATGGCCTGGCACACGTGGGACGTCACCACCCGGCCGGAGCCGCCCTCGTCGGGGAGCCGCGCGTCCGTCACGTTGTCCGTGCACGAGGCGGCCTTCCTGCCCTGCCGGCGGCACCGCGTCGGGGGGTGCGCAGCACTGCGCGTGTGTGAGTGTGAGCGCTGCCGAGTGTGAGGGTGAGGGTGAGGGTGAGAGTGAGTGCTGCTGCATCTGTGTGCAAGGTGCTGCCAGCCCTTTGTGCAAGGACACAACACACGCGTGTTTGCACGACTGCACATCAGGCTCTATGGGCGCACACTTGTTTGCACGCACGTTTCCACCACTCCGTGTGAGCGGACACAAGCGCTCGCCCAGCTGTGCACTCACACGTGGGTTTTACTGTGAGCTGTGTGCATGTCTGCGTGGCTGCATGCAAGATGTACATGTGGCCATGAATGCGTGGCCGTGGGTTTGCACAACCACGTGTGTTTGCATGACTACACGCTCTGTGCCCCCCCCCCCCCCCCCCCCCCCGGTTGCCGCAGAGGCTGATGTTGAAGTGATGGAAGTATTTGAGGCCTTTGGAGGTGAAGCTGGGGCCGCTGGTGAAGGCGGTGCTGGCAGACAGAGCTGAGAAGTCGTAGTGCAGCGTGCGGCCGGGCAGCGCCAGGGAGAAGGTGCAGTCACTGTAGCAGAGGGAGCGGATCTGCCCAGAGCGGGGGGCTGCTGTCACCCAACGGGGTCCCATCGTGCCACCCAGCCAGGGTGTCGTCACCCACAGGGACGTGCGGGGGGCTGCAGGGCGTCACCCATGTTGGACGCTCAGGGACAGCTGTCACCCATCAGGAAACGGTGCCACCCGTGTGGGATGTCAGAGGTTGGTGCCACCCCAGCGGGGACAGCCAGGTGCCGTGTCCCCACTCCGCTCCCCACAATGTCACCCATCAGGGATGCCCGACAGCCCCCCTTAACCCCAGGAACGTGGGGATGCTCACCTGGTTGCTGCGGGTGCCGGGGCCGCAGGGCTGGCAGGCGGGGGGGCCGTCAGGTGGGCGTCCCCGCAGGAAGGTGCCGGGGGGACAGGGCTGGCAGGAGCCGGTGCTGTGGTCCAGGGTGTGCCCGGGGGGGCAGGGGGCACAGGGCCCCCCAGCGCTGGCACAGCGGCGGCAGAAGGAAGCCACCCCCCCCAGCACGTTGGTGACGTTGACGGAGTAGAGCTTGGCCACATCACTGGTGTAACGCCGGCCCTGGAGAGGCGGTCAGCATCATCAGGTGCTGGGCAGGGGATGGAAGGGGAGGGAGGGGGGTGACGCTGCTGTCCCCATCCCTGTGCCCCCACTCACCGCCTCGCGGTACCGCGTGCGCTGGAAGGCCCACGTGAAGCTGGTGGTGGCGTTTTTCTCCACCACGTAAGTGTAGGACTGCTTCCCCCGGGGCCCCGTCCACGTCTCCACCGGCGTGTTGG